GACGCGGCCGCCGTCCCGCGCCCGCCGCCGCGTCGGGAGCCGCCCGGGCCGCCGCGGCGCCCGCCGCCGCCGCGGGCGCCGCCGCGCCCGCCGCCGCCCGAGGAGGCCCGGGCGCCGCCGCCGCCCGAGGAGGCCCGGGCGCCGCCGCCGCCCGAGGAGGCCCGGGCGCCGCCGCCGCCGCCGCCGCTGCCGCCGACGCGGGGGATCCCCATGGGTCCGAACGAGGCGCGCCGCGCGAGGCGCGAGGCGGCGCCCGACGTCGTCGCCGCGTTCCGCGCGAAGCTCCTCGTCGTCGTCCTCGGCGGCGTCCAGGCCCGGTGCCGGGCGGGCGCCGTCCGGCCCGGCGACGTCGACTACGTCAGCGTCAAGCTCGCCACGAGCCTCGCGGAGAAGCACCACGCGCGGAACCGGGGCTCGAAGCAGTTCGCCTTCGAGGCGCGCACGGCGGCCAAGGCGGCGGCCTACGTGGCGGCGTTCTTCGAGCGCCGCGGCAGCGTCTACGAGCGGCGCAGCTAAGGCGCCTGGCGACTCTTAGAGGGCGACGCTCTCGTGCTCGGCGTCGCCGGGCGCGGGCTCGGCCGGCGCGGGCGCGCCGGCGGGCGCCTCGGCCGGCTCTTCCTTGGGCGGGTCCCCGGCCGCGGGCCCGGCGTCGCCGCCGGGCTTGGGCGCGTCCGCGGGCTTGGGCGCGTCGGGCGACGGCGACCGCCGCTTCTTCGGCGACCGGGACCGGCGGCGGCGGCGGCTCGAGGACCGGGACCGGGACCGGGACCGGCGGCGGCGGCGGCCGCGGGACCGGGACCGGGACCGGGAGTCGCCGCGGTCGCGGCGGCGGCGGCGGTCCGAGCGGCCGCGGTCGCGGTCGCGGCCGCGGCGGCGGCGGCGGTCGCGCGAGTCGTCGTCGCTGTCGCTGTCGCGGCGCTTCGCGACGCCCCAGCCGGAGATGTTCTTCGCGCCCGTGAGCTTCTCGCGGTGCTTCGCCTCGAGGGCCGCGCGCTGCTGCGCGGGGTTGAGGAACGCGAAGTTCGGGTCCGCTTCCGCCGTGACGGGCGGCGCGCCGCCCGCGCCTGCGTGGATTCCAAATCTTCAACCCGACTTCAACGCGCGCGTCATCGAATGATTTGGACCCGACTCTCTCGCTGTGCTTCGAGAACTCGACGAGAGCCATCGATTCGTCGAAAAATCAGCCGAATCGACGTCGATGTGACCGAGCTCGAGAGGTTTGAAGTTTGGCGGGGACCCCCCGAACCAGCGGTCGATTTCCACGCCGGCCCGCGCCCTCGACCTGGCGCGCGAGCGCCGCGAGCACCGCGGGGCTCGTGACGCCCGCGAGGCCCGAGAACTCGGGCACGGAGGGCTTGTTGAGCGCCGACGCCTGCGTCGCCTGGAACGCGAGGAGCGCGGCCGCCGGGTTCGCCGCGCCGACCGGCGGCAGCGGCGTCGGCTGATTCGACTGCGCGAAGAGCCGCGGCTGCATGGCCTTCTCGACGCGGATCGACGTGCCGCAGACGAGCGTGCCGTGCATGGCGACGGACGCCGTCGCCGCGTCCGCGTCCGCGAAGTCGACGAAGCCGTAGCGGCCGTCGCCCGCGACGCGGACGTCGACGACGGAGCCGATGCACGAGAAGATCTGGCGGAGCACGTCGGGCGTGACGGCCGCGTTGAGGTTGCCGACGTGGATCGTCTTCGACGGCGCGAGGAGCGGGTTCGTGTTCTGGGGCACGCCCGTCGACGTCACGGACTGCGCGCCCATGAGCGCGGCCGCGCCTTCGAACGCGCCGAAGCCCATCGCGGGCGCGCCGAGCACGGACGCCGGCGCGAAGCCCGCGGCGGCGAGGCCCGCGGCGGCCGCCGCCGCCGCGTCCGGCGCGACCTGGGACTGGAGCGCCGCGGCCGCGGCGTCGCCGCCCGCCGCCGCGAGGCCCAGGAGCTGCGGCGGCGGCGCGGGCGGGATCGGCACGCCGCCCGCCTGGACCTCGGACTTGTAGCGGTTCATGACGCCGACGAGGAACGCCGACGGGTTCCGCACGTTCGCCATGTTGCTGCTCAGGAAGCGGTCCAGGACCACCGACGCCATGTGCTCGGGCAGCGCGCCGAGGTCGCCGAGGATCTTCGGGTCCAGCGCCGTCGCGGGGAAGAGGCCGCCGGCGATGGCGCTCTGGAGCCGCCCGGACAGCGCCGGCGACAGCGTGCCCATGCCGCCGCCGTTCATCATCGCGGCGCCGGCGAGGCGCGCCTACTACTAGTAGGCGACGCTCGCGCTCGAGACGGCGACTGCCTTGCCAGGCCCTTGGCGCCCGCCACTGCCCGCCCACATTCGCCCCGGTCGTCGCGAGCAGCACCGCCGCCCGCATCGTCAAGCGCGCGCGCGGCCGCCGCCCCGCGCACCGCGTCGGCGCGAGCGGCCGCGTCGCCGGCCGCCGCACCGCGCCGGCGCCAGCGGCCCATGGTCTCGTCCACGGCGCTCGTCGTCGCCGGGTCCGCGGGCGCCGGCGCGCCCGCGGCGCCGGCGGCCCCGGCGACGTGCGCGACCTTCGACTCGCCGGCGGCGCTCGAGGCCGCCGTGGCGCGGAGCAGCCGCGGCGCCGGCGACCTCTTCGGCGGCGACGACGCGTTCGCGCCCGCGCCGCCCGTCGCCGACGCGCTGCGCGCGAAGATCGCGTCCAAGGTCAAGGGCGACTTCGGCGACCTCCTGCCCGTCGCCGGCGGGGCGTCGACGGGCGCGGGCACCGAGGACGAGCGGCGCGCGTTCGTGGCGTCGCTCGCGGCGGCGCTCGGCGGCGGCAAGAAGCGGAAGCGGGGCGCCGTCGCCGCCGCCGCGGGCGACGCGGGCGACGCGGGCGACCGCCACGTCGTCGCCTACGAGCCGCGGAGCGGCGCGCTCGTCGTCGCCGGCGGCGCGGGCGCGGGCTCGAACCCCGTCGCGGGCGCGACGGGCGTCGCGTGCGGCGGCTCGGCGGGGAGCCTCGTCGTGCCGCTCCGGCGCGTGCCCAAGAAGGTGCCCGAGCCGGCCTGGCACCCGCCGTGGAAGCTCGCGGCCGTCGTCAGCGGCCACCTCGGCTGGGTCCGGTCCGTCGCCTTCGAGCCGCGCAACGAGTGGTTCGCGACGGGCGGCGCGGACCGGACGATCAAGATCTGGGATCTGGCCAAGTGCGCCGCGGGCGCCGAGGGCGGGCTGAAGCTGACGCTCACGGGGCACATCAACGCGATCCGGGGGCTCGCCGTGTCGGCGCGGACGACGTACATGTTCTCCGCGGGCGAGGACAAGAAGGTCATGTGCTGGGACCTCGAGACGAACAAGGTCGTCCGCCACTACCACGGCCACCTGAGCGGCGTCTACTCCCTCGCGCTCCACCCGACGCTCGACCTGCTGATGACGGGCGGCCGCGACTCGTGCGTCCGCGTCTGGGACGTGCGCACGTCGAAGCAGGTCATGATGCTCGGGGGCCACGTGAACACGATCGGCGCCATCGCGTGCAACGCGTCGGACCCCCAGGTCATCACGGGCTCCCACGACTGCACGGTGAAGTTGTGGGACCTGGCCAAGGGCAGGGCCCTGTCGACGCTCACGCACCACAAGAAGGCGATCCGGTCCCTCGCCGTCGCGCCCTTCGAGTTCTCCTTCGCGTCGGGCGCCGCGGACAACATCAAGAAGTGGCAGTGCAAGGACGGCGCCTTCCTGCGCAACCTGAGCGGCCACGACGCCATCGTCAACGCCGTCGACGTCAACGACGACGGCGTCCTCGCGTCCGCGGCGGACGACGGGAGCCTCCGGCTCTGGGACTACCGGACGGGCTACGGCTTCCAGAAGCTCCACACCGTCGCCCAGCCGGGCTCCCTCCAGTGCGAGGCGGGCATCTACGACGCCAAGTTCGACCGGAGCGGGAGCCGCCTCGTCACCTGCGAGGCGGACAAGACGCTCAAGATCTGGAAGGAGGACACGCACGCGACGCCGGACTCGGACCCCGTCGACATGGCGGCCTGGACGAAGGAGTGCCGCCGCCTCAAGCGCTACTAACTTCGTGCGCCGGCTGGGTGCGCCTCGCTTACGGGAAGACGGCCGCGAGGAAGGGGGCCGCGGGGCTGCCGGGCGCGTCGTCGTCGCCGGGCTCGGGCGGCGGCGGCGGGGCGTCCTCGGGCGGCGGCGCATCCTCCGGCGGCGGCGCGACCTCCGGCGGCGGCGCGTCCTCGGGCGGCGGAGGCGCATTCTCCGGCGGCGGCGCGTCCTTTGGCGGCGGCGCGTCCTCCGGCGGCGGCGCGTCTTCCGGCGGCGGCGCATCCTCCGGCGGCGGCGCGCCGCCGCCGCCCCGGTCGTGCGCCGAGAGCGCGAGCCGCGGCTCGTCGGAAGCGACGGGCGGCTTTTCGCCCGCGGCGCCGCCGCCGCGGTCGTGCGCGGAGAGCTCGAGCCGCGGGTCCGCGGCGGGCGCCGGCGGCGGCGCCGCGCGCGCGCGCGGCGCGGCCGCCGCGGCGCGCTTCGAGGGCCGCGCGGCGCGCCGGAGGTCCCGGCGCGTGACGACGTCGTCGACGAGGAACTGGAGCGGCGCGAGGTTCACGTCGCGGAGCGCGGCGCGGTCCTCGAAGTCGCGCGCGGTCGCGCGGTCGCCGGCCGGCGCCG